CGCCCACAACAATACGCATACATTCACATGTTCGTATGCAAGTAGCTTCTCAGCCCGAACATTCAACCCTTCCCGCCGCAGTCGTAGATGCAGTGGTGTTACGTGCCGCCAGAGGGGAGCTATACCTCGAGACTTTGCATCCTCTGCCACCCGAATACGCAGAGGTAGACTGGAACCTCTATGACGCCGGGAGCACTGCGACCTCAAGGGCTATGATGGACGCAGTTCAGAAGCTTGCAATGGAGCGGTGGGACTGCTGCCGATTCAACGACATAATAACTGGAACTGCGAATCCTATAACACTTGAAGAATTGCTCCCACAAGACGACAGTGCCACTGACGCAAATCTACCTCCCAGTCTGAATGCACCTCAGAGAGCGGCAGTCCTATCGGCGAAGCCGGACCACCTAGCGTTGATATGGGGACCTCCAGGTGACTTGCAAGTGGTTTTTCATGAAATGTCCTGACCATCCTCCTAGGTACCGGGAAGACAACTGTCGTGGTGCAGATATTATTACGCTTCCTTCGTAAGTCTGACGAGACTCGTATTCTCATGACTGCGTCTACTCATAATGGTGAGTATCATCATACTCCGAATCACTCCGCTGTGATATTGATTGGGTACATCAGCGATCGACAATGTTCTCGAGAGGTTCGCAGCCGCAAATGAAACAGAACACCTCCTTACCGATGAGCAAATCCTACGATCCGCAACTGAAAGCTCGAAAGTGAACAAAGCTTTGCAGAAGTATACCATAGATGCGCGGATTGGAGGAAATATGAACGACGACCCTCGCCTCATCAAAAAAGCAGAACGAAGGCTCAAGGAGGCCAGGATCGTCTTTACAACCTGCAGTGGTGCAGGCCTGGGTCTTCTCCGTAATGCAAACTTCGACACAATTCTCATCGATGAAGCCTCCCAAATCACGGAACCTGTCGCATTGATTCCTCTCGTCAAAGAGTGTCAAACGGCTGTACTGGTTGGCGACCAGTACGTCATCAATCTATCCATGTATATCTGAAGCTTACACCCCCCTGATTGACTAGTGTTCAGCTGCGTCCAACAGTCCGACCAATGGCAAAGGTTCTGGAGTTCGATCAGTCGTTGTTCGAAAGGCTCTGGACGGGAGAAACCTATCCAAATATGACCAGACGGATGCTTGAAGTTAGTTCAAGTAATCCTTGTTGATTGGCATTGACTCATCCAGACAGGTCCAATACCGGTTTTGCGCGGAAATTGGGAGTTTCCCCTCTGCGACCTTCTATGACGGTCGACTGCAAACTGGGAATCCGAGGGAGACTGAGATCCGTCAAGTCTTGGAACCTATGTCGTTCCCTTGGCCTCGCCGGAATGGCAGGATTTTTCCCGTTGTATTTGTTCCTTGTGCTGCAGAGGAAGATCAAGGCCGTTCATCGAAGAGTAATCAGGGTCAAGTCGATCTCGTCAAGTATATCTTGAAGATGCTGCGAGCTCCTTCCGAAGCAGCGAGAAGCGATGAAGGTTCATCGGCGCAGAAGCAAGTAGGAGCGAAGGAAGACAATATACATTCGATAGCTACTGCGTCTATCGCAATCCTCACACCATATTCTCGCCAGGTCAAACTGCTGAACGATAACATTCCTTCAAGCGCCAATGCTACCGTCAGTACGATTGATGGATTCCAAGGCCGAGAGACCGACATAGAAATTTTTTCAACCGTCCGTTGCAATTGGGAGAATGACATTGGTTTCGTTGAGGACAAGCGAAGGTTGAATGTTGCTTGGACAAGGCCCAAATTTGCTCTAATCATCGTGGGCGACCAAAGGACGCTATCGTCTAACGAAATGTGGAAGAAGGCGTTGAAGAGCTGCGAGAAGGTGGAACTTAGATTGCCGGATGTAGAGGTGTCGTAGAAGATTCGCTACCGTAGCTCACCTGGAATCTGAGCTTCATTGAACGCGATCATGTGACCGTGTAAAGCTGTACACAGCCACAAGTAGTGGCTCGATCGCCTCGCGCGTCACAAACTTGAAAGTTGAAATCATAGCAGAACTCTCCGAGTCGATGCCTCCTCTCACCACCTATTAAACAGCATGACCTCCACCACTCGTTCCGCACATCGTTCCTTCACTGGCCACCATGCGCTGCTACCAGCAACGAACTCGGCGCATCAACGTGTTCTAATCCCTGTTGTTCCAACGCAGACGCTGCTCGTTTGGACCTTTGGCAGAGGTACAGTGGTAGGGCTAAAGTGTCGGTCTTTGCGATTTCCTGAGGGCTAATTCAGTTTACTCAATACAGCTGTGGAGAATTTGGCCTGCTGTTTTACTTCATACTGCGTTCGCCGCAGGTAAGCCAAGCTTCAATTCACGGATTTCTATACTGTTTCGCTCACTGCTATTCGATAAATTAGTCGTTGTATCAATATCTATGAAGACAAGATTTGATCTTTCCATACCAAACGTCATGCTGACAGTACTAGGTACGTATGCTCCGTTTCATCCCGCTCATCATGCATGCTTTTGCTGAGCCACTTTCCGCGAAAGGTGTGGTTATAGGTTTCGTGATTTCCTACAGAGCAATTTCTGGGTACGCATTCATTTATTTGGTACAGAACGCGACGCTTATCTCTACACCTGAAGCTACGACCGCTACTGGCAAGGACGGTCTGCATCGTCTGACATTATGCGCTCTTCCCGGACATTTGGGCGGCTCATCTGGTTCCATGTCCCCCTTCGGCCCATGATTTCTACCCCCGACACCGATCCTGGCAAAACTGATAAGGGCAAGGACCAGGACAAGGAAATACATGAATTGCGCCATGTAATGGCGGAGAAATATCTAGCACTCGATTTGGTTGAAGCGTAAGCATACTAGTTCTGTTCGCCTCTTCCAATACTGTTATTGACTGTATGCTCTATGTAGGTTTTCTGTTGCAGTAAAGCACCACTTAAGAGGTGAGTTTGTTACAGACCCACTATTTGCCAATGTAGCTGATTCAGCGATAGGCGAGATTGGGATATATTATGAAGATCTCTATCCGCTTGTCCGTCCCCTTCACGATGTACGTGATACTGTTTCTTACTGCAACAGTTGAACTATATACTCTTTGCACTAGCATCATCGTAAGCAGCAAGCCTCTGCAGCCGCGCAGCCGGCCCAAGTACCACAAATGTGCCCCGCTGAAGCAGATCACGCTTCCGAGTTGCTCATACCCAAGAACCCTATTATTCCCCCAATTAATGCATACGGAACATTTTCATCCTCTGCATCACACAATCTTCGCTCGTCCTCATCATCGTCCTCTTTTTCTTCACATAGCTCTCATAGAGGAGACCGCCCTCTTCTCCCCGGGTCTGCCCCTCCTGCCAGTGGCGTGATGAACAGAGTCTCGAGCGATCTGATACCATTTAGCAGCATTTTTGGCCATGTTTCCCGAGCGGTTCAACATCGGTTTTCTCGCAGTGAAGGCTATAGCGAGGTTACATACATGGACGTAGAAACGGGCTCTGCTGAGGGAGACATTAGTCCTCGCAATCTGGAAAGCCCCAATGACGAGACCTGTGCGACAGCAGTACCAGGGCCACGGCAAAGCATCAGTCAGTACACTTGGGCCGAGTCAGGTGACATCCACTATATAGGTGCTATCGCCTGGTTTGACTGATGTTACGTAGGTCGCACATCCACCTTCACCGGGCAGTTCAGTTTTACGCACAAGAAACATCGACCAAGAATAGCCGGAGGCGGGGAAAACATGCCTCTAGAGATAGTACGCCGCCTCAGTCACTGGCTCAGCGTTTTGGAGGCACGTGGTACTATACCCGGTTTGTGGTGGCATGTCGCTCAGAAGGTTCCGAGCTCACATCTTGCTCTGTCTAGGGAACACGCTTGGTGGCATGTTCAGTTGTCTGTCTTCCTTCGAAGATAGCTTAGCAGGTATGATTACATACAAGACACTGAACGACTTGTTTCGCTGAGAGGGCTTCCACAGCGCTCGAACGAATCCTGACGACACCTCTCCCATTGTGAGTGTTGATGTTCCCACCGTACTAGGTGACCGCTGACGGATGACATCCATTCGTGTTCCACACAGCGTGTATTCTGTTCACATCAGACAGTATGTATCAGCCGACTCATTGCTGGTTGTTCATTGTTCGTTGTCACTGACTATTGTACTTGTAACACAGTACGGTCTGGCTTTACCTGTTCTTCCTTCCGTTCCAACTGGTAGATCAGTTTAGATGGTATGCTATTCCAGGCGTATGCATTGCCGCGTTCATCTATCTCGGATTCCTCGCTGCTGGGGAGGAAATAGAGCAGCCATTTGGTTCGTCTGGGTTTCTGCTTTTATATCTGACTCATGCTCATGTCATGCCCTTATGATCAATCACAGGATATGATGAGGTCTGTAGATTCTGCTTTTCCAATAGGGCCATTACCACCTCAGTATGCCTACTAACCGAGTCCTCCACAGAATGACCTCGATTTGGATATGTTCTGTCGGGCAGTTGTGCATGCCGACTTTGAGCATCTCAGGAGGACACCCTGCATGAATGCTCTGACTAACGTTGGTCATCGCTCTGAAGACGGCGACACACCAGTGGTCACCCACAAAGCTTTCCGGGAGCCTCGTAAAGTGGCAGAGATGTTTGGTGAGGACATGATGTCGTCCTTCTTCAGATCTAAAACAACTTATTGGATCCTATTAGGTGCATGGTGATGTTGCGTCGCATACTAGCTCCTGTGTTATTGTTTGTGATCCTTGAAAACTCGTCTGGTGAATAATCCACATACAAAATATACTCATTTGCAGGGCAATATCACGGATATGTCTGCAGGCCAAGCTCTCCGAACCTGGGTTTGAACTTCGAGAGCCTTGCATCGTATATGTGACATCTTGCTGACATTTGAATGCAGGTATTGCAGTCATATTTTGATATTGTAGGGCTACAAGAGCGTCGAGGATTCTCAGAGGCAGTAGGTTCCCTCCTGCCTTGTTGTTGGGAGGCCTACCATTAGAGGCTCAATGGTCTAGTCGTATGATTCCTGCTTCGGGTTTCCCGGTTGTTTTATGCGACCTCGTTAATGCAGGAGGTCGCGGGTTCAATTCCCGCTTGAGCCCTGTGGTTCATTTTTGTCCCTAGTCCACATAGCTTTGGTCCAATTCCCCTCGAGAGTTGTCATTACTATTTTTAAGCCCGGCCATGCTATTCTCGCTTCACCGCTTTTCAAACAATCACTCGAATGCAGAACACGATCCTTGTGCACTACGATTATTTTGATAACAGTGCTCCAAGTCCTTTCATTCAGAGAAGGCAGTAGTACCTTCAGAATGCGATTCAAGGAATTTGAACAGGTCCCCTGCTATCTCCCGATGAACTCTTGTAGTTGGGTGAATGTGATCAATCCATACGGCCCCACCCCATTTCCCGATATCTTCATCGGTGAATCCATAAGCTTGGGGGTTGGTGAACATACGCGTAAACAGATCATATGACGAGTAAAGCATCGTCGTCACGTCTGTACGCGAAGATGCGAATTGGTTGATCGCTTCTCGAAGATGTTGGTTCCATTTTCTGAAGCCTTGGCTCGTCCTTTCCCGGATACTTTCACCTACTGCGGGGGCATCAATACAATTACATAGCACTCGTTGAGTTCAAGAAACCTACTGCCTGGGGCCCTTTCAATTGCTGGTACATCGATGAAGAGAAAGTTTCGCGCGCCGAGAGCGTATAGTTTCACCTCGAGTTCAAACAGTGTTTGTTGGCAGGCCTTGATCGCATCGTCGCCCGAAATGAACCTGGAAATGCGGTCAAGATAAGGACTGGGAGTGAACTTGGTGCTGAGAACTTACGCGCAGTCATTTATGCCGATCCAAGTGACTACAGGAAATGTCAGCCGTATTGCCGATTACAGGATCAAGTGATTCAAACAGTACTGAACAGAGAATCATCAGGAGTCCAAGGAGCGAAATCCGGCCTGTTTCCAATCTTCGGAATGAACAATCTGTCTACACGGTTCACCATATTGCGGACCACATCTCCCCCAACCGCATAATCGTATACCAGAAGGGAACGGTCTTTGTTGAATTCCTTGACAAAATATCCCACCCAATTGGGCTTGTCGTTCTCAGCCCAGGTAATACCAGGGTATGGAAGTCCCAGGGGATGCCTTTCCGTAGGGTTCGGGCATCCGGTTGTCACAAATCCGACATCAGAGTATGAGTCCCCGCTAACGGTGAACAGGGCATCAACGTCCGAACATCCAGTATACAACAAACTATGGAACTCACAATATAACTAAATGGCGGAGCGACTGCAGACCATGCCAGTGGCGTCCCACCGACAGAAATTGACTTCCTTGTTCGGAGTCAGGATTCGCTTCGAGATCGATCAGCTTTGCTTGTCGACTGTTGATTCCTACTCACCTGTAGATTGCATTACAAGAGACGTAACCAGCAGCAAACATGAAAGCGACGCTGAACCCACAGTGGTCGGTGAAGCTTTGAAGTTGGAAGCAACGTCTGATACATTGGTCCTAACAAGGATAAACCCCAGTGGAAACCGGATCTGTGAGGACAGAAAGCTGCAAAATCTTGAGTTTCTGTTCAAAAACCTGTAAGAAGCTGTAGCGAGGCCTAGGCCGGCCCGTGGAGCCCATGCCAGGGCGCTAGACGCGGTCATACACACGCACCTCTGGAAGAGTGTTGATACTATTCACACCGCCCTCTCATTCTGCCTGTCTCATATTGTTGTAACAGCAATGTAAGTGAGTGGTCATCGCCTCTCTGTGTATATTGACGGTCTTTTGTGCCGCATATAGCAACCTCCTCATATGGCAGGAGGTCTGTCCACGAGATTTGGTGAGTTGTCGTCGTTTTATCATGTTCATACGCCAAGAGATGGATCAGACATTGCAAACGCGCCACAATGATTGCCCGCTATCCTGGTATGTCGCTCTAACCTCCTAGTTGCTGCTTCTGGCAGACTGACTCCACCCCTACAACTCCACCTCAATACTGCAACTTATGTGAAGCGCATACATCCATCTCGACTGTCTTCAATTACCCCCGAGGGCTTTTTTCTGGTGCGCAATACATCTCTATATTTTAAACACCCAATCTGATTACTTTGAATTTCTATAGGTTATGATGTGGACAGGTAGTGTCCCAATAGCTTCCCGCTCTTTCGTTCAACAAGTACCCAGTGAGTCATTTCCCTTAGATTCATCTCTCCACGTGCTGACCTATACCTTCTCTCTATGTAGAACTCGACTTTCGCTGCACAAACACTGACAGGGCAAACCAATGCACGGTACTAGATGAGCGGCTTGAAGGGCCTTGGAGGTATTGGCGGGTTCCGGTGGGTCACCCCGTGTTGGCGGGACTGGCGGGTATGTGGAGAACTGGCTACATCTGTAATTATTAGGTAGATATGAATAGAATACCGAATACATGGATTTACAGGTACCGCCAGTTTTTTTATGCAGAACTGTACATACTATGACAGGTTTTTTTCTCAAACTGCTGGGCAGGCATGTAAATATCTGGGGCGCCAAATCAGCCAGGTTTTCACAGATCCTTACAGGTCCGGTTTCCACTGGGGATAAACATTCGGTAACAGAACGAATTGAAAACGAATCAACGATCTAGGTCTCGTGATCCACCGAGTAGGTGGCCCGGGAATCGAGGCTGGAGTCCCAGGAGTAAGTTCCACTACATCTATTATCTAGCGTATACTACGAAGACTTTGGAGCCTCGTCGTGCTAGTTCGCCGCTCAGCTCAAGCGGAAGCCAGCTTGTATTCTAAGATGTCAGTCTCTTCGCAGTGCCAGACCTTAACCAGATCGAATCCAGCATATTTCCTGCGCAACACGTCACTTCAGAGGGATTGCGCGTAATATAAACGTCGATGACCTACCCCAACGCGTTGTATTCATCGAGAGTTCTCTCCCTGCTGTTGATGACATTCTGATATGACGAGAATTAAGCAATGCAATATTCGTAACTGTAAAACGTACCATCATCTGTAGAGCGTATGCAATTGTCACTATCTCGTGGACTCTGCAAACAATAAGTCACTTACGAGGATATCCATAGCATAAGGTACAAAGCCTCCCTCTCCGTAGTTGGGCAACAGGGGAGACGGTGCCTAGCTACATGAGTTGCATTCCTATCTTGCGAGGTAGATCATGAACCAACCTGCGAAATATTGTCCGTATCCTGTCCTTCACGAGAAGCGTATGGCATAATACATTCCTCTATACCTTATGTCAGTCCAGTACCACCAGGGAATGACGACTAGTACCCACGGATGAGCAAACGAGATGATGGCTTCATCGCCTTCCGAACATTCGTTAGAATCTTCTTGCTCGCCTCGTCACTCCAATTATGGCTTCACAGGGACTTGCTTTAGTACTTAGCTCCACCAAGCATAATAATACACGTACATGACATGCTTGATCTGAAAAAACCAAACATATACGTCAGTCGGGAGATCAGAAGTACAACTGCGATACGTACAAAGTAGAAGTCGCAGTCACGGACCGGAACGTCTTGGGTGAAGTCAATTGGCTCTAATCGCGCCCTACCTGCTTTCAAGACGTCAGCAGCTTTCTCCGCCCAAATACGCTTGGCCTGCTCGATGGTGTGTGGCTGATCTTGTAAAACGACATTCAATTGCTTGAAAGTCAAGGCCAAATGCATGACAACATGTCCCACTCCGCCTCCGACATCGCATATGGATGTACCAGCGGGGAGTTGATCCCAAGGGAAATCTGACACCAGCGAAGATCATCAGCACATGCGCAATGCATAGAGGAACGATATACCATGCAAAATAGCATCAAACTTGATGAACTCGCCAAGTCCTGTCATCGCTCTTTCAAACCTTCGGCCGCGGGCAGGATCAACCTTCGCAAAATACTCCCATAGGGTGCCAGAGTGATTGAACGCTAAATTAAAGGCGGTCTGATTATTTGCATCAGATGATCCCATGGCTGGATCCGACAAGGCTTCATAGAGCTGTGCCCCTGCCTTGAGTCCTTCGTCGGACCTGATTCCAGGGATGTCATGGTTAATCATTAGTCTTCGAGCTTACACGGTAAAATCATCGTACATCAACGCTGCGAGTGCAGGTAAATTGTTGTCCGATGTCAAGACCATGCTGAGACGATTGTTGGCAAATACGTTCGGTGAGACTGAGTATTGTCAGGGATTTAAACGTAGTTCTATCAGCAAAACGCACATACCTTCCTTAAAGCAGTGCTTTGTGGCAAGCACTCGTAAAATTCTAGAGAGTTTATTCTCATTAATTTTGGTCAACGCTGCTAACTGCGAGACAGATAGTCCGTCTGGGTGATCCTTAAGATGATCAGCGATTTCAACGCGAACGGCAACGCTAAGGCTGGAGGCCACAGTATGCTGAAGACAAGGGTCAGATTCGTGGCACAAGACAATATGCCGCAAGCTTACATTCATTGCATACTAAATATCGGCTTCCAGTCAATTTCTGAACCTCAAGAAGGGAACGAATAGCCCTTACCGAAATCACCGTACGTTGTGGTGGTGCCACAAGTGCGGATAGCTGGGCGCATGCTCCTTGTATAGCTCGGATAGAGTTGAACAATTGCTGGGAAGTATGCTGAGTATCCAACGGATAGTTTACCGCGTCGTCGAGGGTAGGCAGGGGTTGCCCTACTTTGGCATATTCCACCTTTACCTCTTGGACTTTGGCGGTGATGAGACGGACGAGCTCGTCAAGCTGCTGAAGACCACCACTAGCCATGGCTGCACAATGATGTTCATGTTGCGCGAGCGAAGCTTTTATAGCTTTCTTCAATACGAGAAATCCTCAGTATGGATTACCAGCACGATGTCACCGGATCCGAGTGCGTCGGATTCGTGCCATCGTGATGATCAATGGCTGGTGGAGAAGCCGTCGTCAAGAGAATTTTGTCAGCTTCAGACCGTAAGTGAAAAAATGCGAACAGACAGAAGTGGATATGTTCAGAATGTGAGGGCCGCAGATCAATGTGGACAGGCGCACTTTGCTCAGCCATCGCCGAAAAGTACGGATGGGTACCAAGAGAAGCACGTTATTACCCAGAGCGCATGACGCAGAC